CTCTTTTCGAGACTTCCAGGCCAAAGAATTGCAAAACCCGACTAACCTAAAACAAAGTTCCATTTGAATCTCGAGTGAACATACAGACAACTAACTATATTCACATTATAATATATTGTAATAACCATAATACTTTTAGCAATGTTAAAACTCTAAACATCTGAACATCATATGTTAGTCTAATATATATAGCATACAATGATCCTGGTTTAACTGTCTGTTTTCGAATTCTTAGTGAAATAAGATAAAAAAAGCTACCTGTCGATAACTAGTCCAGTGTTTTACAATCAATTCACGTTGGCTATCGTCTCGAATAAACCGTTCTAGTTTTCGCTGCAGAGCTGCTGATGCAGTACGTGTTCTGAAATCCATTTCTGCTCGAATTATAAAATTGAAAATCATATAAAAAATGCGTAAGCGCTGGTCTGTAAACCTTCATATTCAACAGAAAAGAAAAATATCAGTTGAGAACTATCACTTAATAAAGCGCTGCTGTCTCGTCGATGTCTGAGGAAGCGGAAAATTTTGATCTTCGCTTATAGGGCCAACCCAATCTGACTGTTCATCGTCCGCCTCACGACCATCAGAGGAGCAGGTTTCAGAAGATGACAATTCACTTGTTGAGCACAAACTATCCCAGTCCATTCCTAAATTACTTTATTCACTTAATTTTCTGAGTTCCTAAACGTCGTTCAAACTGGAAGTATAAAAATTAAGATTATGCAGGCACAACTAGGGCAGCATAATATTCCTAGTTGACGATAGCTTAATTTCAGTGAAATGTTGATTATATAATATTACCTTTATTTGTAATGCTAAGTTGAGAAACAACATCGATATCCATCTTTTCATTGATATTTTTTCGCTTCACAACCCTTTTCTTCCGTCTTACACGTCCAGAACGCTGTTCCGCTTCTGCTTCCACTTGACTATCTGATTCAATCGTAACGGACGCAACACGCTTCACAACTGTGTATTCAATTTCGCTTTCATCGTCCGTGTGCATTCCTTTTCCACTGAATCTCATGACAGCTGTATGAAAAAGTAATCAAATATAGAATAAGCCCACCAAAAGAACATCTGGATTCCATTTAGAAACCAACAATTCTCAAGCAAATTACCAAGTATATATTAGCTTTTATTATACACTAATAATAAAAGAAAGATGGAAATATAGACACAGATGATATAAATTATTAATATATGACGCTTCCTGATGATTGAGATCTTGTACATGAATAAATATCACTCCTAACACAATACTTCAAAGTCAATAAAAACTGATTTCCAAAAAGATACGAAAGTAAAACAAACCAAAATAAATTAGATGCGAAACAAAAAACGGATGACATATATTGACCACCGTCCTAACAACATTAGAAATATCTTACAACCCGTCAAAAGTAAATTTAAGAATCCGATTTGTGGAATCAATCTGCTAATTAAGTACCAACTTGAACCGAAGAAGAACTTCACTAGTGATAATAATCTGAAGCCATTAGATGCACAAGAATAAGATCAATTGGAAAAATTTAAAACCACAATAGTTATGGGTATTTTATTGTGTAAGACAAGCCAACTGCTTTATTAAGAATATTTAATGTTTAAATCGGCTAATTTACTTGAAGCAATAGGAAATCCAGAAAAATGGGGAATAAAAAAAAGGAACATGAAAGAATCAAAAGAAATATCTAGTAAAAAAATTAAACATGAGATCACAAGACACAAATCAACGATACAAACAATAAATTATCTTAACAGAAATCTACAACAAATAACACAATAATTCAACTTATTCTAATTTACTTCATGTGAAACGAAACAGAGATGCATTCCCTGCAAATAGAGTATTCAATGATATTCCATGAATCCTGGTTAAGTACTGCTGAGATCATTCAAACAAGCACAAAATGCAACCCAGAATTATTCAACTGAGCAGTCATCCTATTACTTTCACACAACGATTTCATAAATATTTCGAAATTCTTGATAAATACGATACGAGTAAATGAAATTAGCAAAATGCATCATGTTGCAAATTCCTGAAAGTTCTATAATCCTAGGGCAAGCTATTCAACATGCAAATTTCCGTGAACCAACATGAGAACTTGATCTTTATGAGTAATATGCACAACACCGGGTGACTGTAGCCAGGCTTCACCGTCGCACTGTACTGGTAATGTTGCACCAAAAATTCTCAACTTCAACGTACTTCCCTGGGCAAGCGAAATACCATGAGAAACACCTATTTGCATCTGCGCAATGTGAAATGATGAACGTACCCCAAAAACTTCAAATTTTCCTAAAACTCACTAATATAACTTCTGCTGATTTCATTGATATCGTCCAAACAAGTTTAAATTATGTATAATTTCATGCATAGAGTTCTTTTATGCGCAGGACTTATCTTTTTTATAATATTTTACAATCTTCATTCAAAAGACTCTGATAAAATTTAATTTTGCACATCCATTTCTGGCTGTCACAGAAAGACTAGTTAATGAAGATGTATGATAACATAAAAATGAGCATCACGCCTGGTGACAGTGCCATCTCATACTATTCTTTTTATTAACTTTAATCTTTCTCCTAGTTTTAACTTTGCATGTTCTAAATAAATTTGTAATCGAAAAAGATAGTTTGAACTAACGATCATCGATAGCTTGTGGAGAAAATAAATTGACCCAAGGTCGTACCCCTGCACCCCAAAAAGGAATATTGAGAACAATTAAGCCCTCTATCGGCGGCAATGGAATGACGGTGCTATCCACAGTTAGTTCAATTTTTTGATCCAAATTAGCACAGGAATGTTCCAATACATCCTACAATAACAAATAGATCAAATATTGCTTGATTTAAAAAGGCAAGCTTTAAGCTTCTGAACTGATATTTTGACAAAAATCGATTTAAGAAAAAAAACTATCAAAGAGAAATATATTCTAATACATTTTTTACCTTTGTTCCGAAAGTGAAGAACAGAACTTTATTTAAAAATCGTGATGAAACTATCTTGCGAATACTGTCACGAGTTGATTGCATGCCTGAAAGTTAATTTCCAGGTCGATAAATAACTTTTCTGTTAGTCAATCTTTATTAGCTGTTTCATACATCTTACTTTATATGCTTTAATATTTCGCTCTTAGAAATTAAAAGAATCCAAAGATTCCATCTGATGAATATATACTTCAGTGAGTGGACAATCTGAAACTTCACATATTCTTTTACGATCAAATCAATCGGAAGAAATCTACTATATATCAGTTATTTACTTCGGTGTTCATTTATAACAAAGCTTACTCTTATTTCTTCTTATTGTCATTTGAAACAGTTGTTTTTTTGGAAATTCATGACATTTGTTTACAGAAATTTCTTTAGTGTATGAAACAGCTAAAATCTGCATGAACCACACCAGAAAATAAAAAGGATACTAACCGTAAGTAACGCAAGCATCCACACCAACAGAAACATAATTTACCATACTGAATCGCTTGTTTTTGGCACGAATACCTAACTGTCTTTTGTGAATAATATCAATCGTCCATCTGTCTAATTTCACTGTCTTAGCACTTCTCATGTCGCGACAGATCTGTAACTGGTTATAAAAGTTTCACTTATTAATTTTTTAACTTAGGACAAATGACAATCAAAATTTATGATGTCTTCGAAAAATGCAAAAAATGCTAAAAAAACTAGTTATCGTAATTATTGTAAGTAAAGAATACTTTATACTATAGCTAAAGATCTTTTATAAATCATAGTTCTTCAATGCCAATTTTTATAAAAACGACCTCGAAGAAGTCGACAGACCCTTTATGACCAGATCCCCATCCTAAAGTTCTACTCAGATCGTTACCAGTACCCAAAGGCAGAACAGCTACGGGTAATTTCCGCTGAAACTCGCTGATGGCATCTAGAGCTAACGAAACTGTGCCATCGCCTCCAGCGATAATGATGCGACAGTCAATTTCAGGATACATATTGATCCAACGCAGTGCTGTTCCTATTCCGATTTGTCGAATATTTATAACCTGAAATCTTGGAACTTAGTATTTTGTATTTTTCGGAATAAAACCTATGACAAGCACACACAAATAACAAGTTTTCAAACTAAGGTATTGTGTAGTATTGATTCAGTCTTTATACTGGTTCCAAGACATCAAAATTAGCATGCAACGTCAAATTCAAACTTCAATCAATGACCTCTCCACTACCCTATATGAGTTAAATAATTCTTCCACCTGAACCGGATGAAGAAGCTTGCGAAATGTCTGTAATGCAGCAAATCCTTCCGCTCCTCCACTTTTTGGATTAACGATAACGAAAAGTGGCTTCCATAATAAATAGTTAATATTATTTGGTCGACAAATTGTGTCAACAATTAGCTGCAAAATTGGTTAAACTTGGAAAAAGCAAAGGAGTTGGACTTAACTATTTGAACTAATTTCAAATTTTTAACATTTTAATTCCGCAGAAACAGTACGTGAGACAAATATCCTAAAACATTGAGAAGTCTCAGTTTCAGTCAATAGCTGGAAAGGCAAACAATAGAGCAGCAGAAGAAACAAATCAATGAAGTGATAGAACAGAATAGAGATTACCAAGCGAATATTTCGGTGAATACACTAAGCGAAGAACAGAGAATGCCAAAAAGAAAAAGTGAAGCAAAGTTTTATATATCAGAATATATAAATATATAATTATCCCTGTAAGCCAGATTTTACAAAACCCATTCAGTCAATTCAATAAACTGCTACAATTACGCGACTTCAAATATATATTACATCAATGTTTAGTAGTTCGGTGCAGTAGACTACTTGTTTGCTTTTATATACAGTTAAGATATCATGAGATTTTGTTAAAATACGCTGTTTTTTAAACATGCATAACTACATTACCAAGTGTTATCTCCACCGTTGGAGTACCTTAGGGCATATAAAAAAAGCTAATTTTGTACATAAAGTAGTCGTTGCATCAAACACCAAGTGCAAGTATAAAACATTATCTTGAAGGCAAATATTTTTAGTTATATATCAGTCAACAAAAAAAACCTAAGAAAATAAGTGTACTTTTATCCGATAATGTTGGATTCCAACCTGCTTATTGCGGCGACTCCCAACTTTACGTACTGTGACACAAGTTGGTGGAACAATGAAATCCCAATTGGCACCCATAGTACATTGACCACTTACCAGCTGCCTACAGCGTGTGTGCACGGTAAACTGTAACCATAAAATTAAGATGAATTGAATGTCTTAAACTGATTACATTTTGAGATAATGTTCAACCTGACATAAAGCACATCGATAATCTATCAAGCCAACACCATCACCACATTGCTCATTGCATATACCGCAGATGCTGCACGATGGCAGATTCCCATAGACCTATAGAAAACTTTTAAAATATGATGTCAGACATATTATGAAGTTATGCAAATTACAAGCGCTGAATATGATTTTGATATATTTAAAGCAATTATCCAAAAATTTCAGAAAAATAAAGTTTTACCCAATGGTGCATAATTTCCTCATTTGTTGATGCAACAGTAATTTTACAACGGAAAGTGCTCGAAAGTAAGTGAAGGCAAGATACGCAATCAACCATAACTCCACAATAGTCGCATTGCATTCCCTTTCGTATTCCGTTCTCGCAAACATTGCAATAATGCCTTGTATCATCATGGAATAAGCTTACGAAGTGATGTCCACCTCGAGAAGCATTACTTATTGGAGGATACAAGCTTATGTCAAGAAATATTTGGAAAAGAAAGTCTCTTCGAAAACTTCTCTATAATGGTTTCACTATAAAAATTTCGTATTTATATCTACAAACTTTCAAGGAAAAGACTTACTGCAAGAAACATTAAAATCTTGAGAATAATATTCCACAATTTTCGGGCGTAAAACTTTCCTCAATATTTGTACGACAGTCAATAGAAACACTGAAATGACCAACAATGGCCATATCATTGTACTGAAAATAAAGTGCTCGTGCGTAAATAAAACTGATACGAGCAAACAAACTTTTTTTCGCTTGAAACATCAAATCTATATATTTTGCACTGCCAAAAATCAAAGAATTTGTGGCAATGTGAATACTAGCCACATAGATATCTGGGATAGTAAGTCTATTTGCTTTCATTCCTCCCCATAACTATTAGCTTTATCCAACTCATGTAATAATAAATTCTAACATTCTCAGGACTTTCTTAATCTCTGTTCTCCTTACTTTACTTTTAATCACTACCTTAAAATTTTTTCGTCTCGGAATCTTTCCACTGAATATTATCCTAAACAATACAATGCTAAACTAAAGACAGAGAAAGATAGAATATGCTTAACGTCCGACATCATTCAGCGTGACAACGCATCAATGACCTCTCCCAATTCACATTTGAGCCACAATTAGTAGCAGCGAAGCACTGATTTTACACTATGCGTTTACGAGATTTAACGGGCCGCGGTTAAATATGTTTTAGTAGAAGATTGCCTTATTTTTACGGACTGTCTTTAAGTTTGGTTGAAGGGTCTGCGAATTTTGGTGGGATGGAGCTATGATATCACTGTCGGGGCCTCTGTGCCTAATTCTCGATCGCTGAAATTTCCCGGTAATTGATATTTTTGTTATACGTGATTCTTGTAAAACGAATGTGCTGTAATCACTGAAATAAAATTTTTGAAAATGTCGAAAGGGATTTGTGATTTCACTAATTCGGTTTGAACTTGCCGGTTAGGAGAGTGCAAAAAAATCTGCAACATTATCGAAATATATTGCATCTTATAGCGGCATTGTTCTGCTGTGTAAAAATTTTGTTTATTTTCGAGTTTTGAAACATTGTAAAACCGGCATCCGTATCTGATCCACTACTGCTTGCATCGCAGAACAAATTTCTAGAAAAGAAGTCTTCAACTGGCTAAAGAAAGACTCGAGTGAAATTTCCTTAGACAAGTGTGCTACATCTTGTGCATGATGTATCATTTTTTCAATTTCACCAAGCTTCAGTTTGTTAGTATCCTTTAACACTGGAAGCATTGAAAAGAATAACATAAAATGGATGTTATTTACTATCTGGAACTGATGATTTTCAATTCGTCGTTACTGCAAATTTAATCAAGAAATGAGGCTTTTTTTCTTAACAGTTTCACAAGTGCGTTGCTTCTATGAATGATAAGTGATCACCTCATATGCATGCAAATTCGCCTACATTTCTGAATACTTTTCATATTTTTGTGGAATGATGTTGTAGTTATGTCAGAACGTTCTTTTATGAACCGATTTTATGCTTTCACAACATCAGAACAGAAGTTAGCAGTTACCTACCATTTGAAGTTATATTTTTGTGTATGTGGCACGTAGTTGGCAGAATGTTGATGTATCATAATTGAAATGAAACGTAAGTTCTTAAAAGCGACGTATCAAGATGTCATGCCGTAATTCAGAAAACAATTCCAAAGTTTTTTTTATAAATCGTTATTCAGGTTGACCATTCATAAATATGTTACTATAAAAGGCTATATCGAATTCGTACTCATTTAATAATTAAACAACTTGGATAGCTGTTTACTAAAAAAGTTACTTCAGCAGGATGAAATGGTTTAGCCAATATTTGTTGACGTCCTTATAGTTTATAAATGGCTTGTGAATATGTTAGATCGTTTATATCATTGAAGAATAGTACGGGCACTGACAAGAACAGTTCTACCGGAACTAAGTGATCTGTTAAAAAAAAGTTGATTGCAGAGTAGTAGTTTTAACTTGTTTCGCACTGAAAGCCAATTGTTCCCATTTTTTCGTGCAATGACCGGTTTTGAACAGTAATATTATTTTTCCAATTTCTCAAACTCGTTAAAAAATTTGCATAAAATGGGACTTTACTAAGTTTTTGACCAAAATTTGCATAATTTCCGTATACAAAAAAGTTTTGTTTCCATCAGTTATTGTTCATGTCCGGTCTGCTTACGCGTGGTAGCAGGGGTAGTATGGATAGTTTGCATGATTATTACATGTCGGGGTTTTTGCCGCTGTTTTACCGTCAGGTAATAAATTTTTTTTGAAATTTGAGTTTGTTTCGTCAAACAATTTGAAATCAAGAATTCGGATTTTTTTGCATCTATCAATATTTATATTTTATCAAATAATTCTCTTGTTTCCAAACCTTGGAAAGAATGCGATTCTATGGCTCGCTAGCAGAAGAAAATCTTGATATTTATTTCATAACGTCTATTTTGGATCTTAAATTTCTTTATATTAGGTCAGTTACTTGTTCATATCGCATGAACCTAATTTGCAACTCAAAAGTTCATAATTAACTCTTTAATTACGAATAAAAGTATATATATATGTGGATTGAATTCGGATTAAGTGAAACCAATCCATGTTTCGGACTGTTATGCCTTACATTCATTATGATTTCTTTTATTGTTTTTATTTGTATTCGATAGCGATCCCCCGAAATATTCCATTACCGCTATTCCATTTCGTTACGATAGTAAATAAGAGACTAGATGGTGCCCAGCACTTCGAAAAAATATTCCAAGCAGTTTCAAATAAATCGGAAAAACACTTCTCCTGAGAGTCTTATAGTCTGTACTTAGATGATGTGTAAAAAGAGATGATTTGATGATAGTTGGCTTATCAAAGACCTTTTTAGATTTATCTTGCTGGTAATAGTATAGAACTTTTGCCATGTTACCAAGAAATATTGAAAAGTTGAAAATATCTCGAAAGATACAGAAAATGTAAATTAGCAATTAGCCATCAAGTTGCTAGAACTTTTGTTGTGATTCCTATCCCAACTCTTAAAAAATTTAAATATTGGAAAGAAGCTGCATTTGTTTTTCGATGAAAAATATTTCGATATTTTTAGTATTTTATGAACGAAGCAGTACCCCCGCCTCCGGTTTCAACAACGGGTAGTGGACCGCGTTTTCGAATCGTTCCAGGGCCTATTTTAGGCGAAAATGGTCGGGCAAATATTCCTCGGAGTACAAACATAGCTTCCATAACTTCCTCGGTAATAACATAGATCATGCAAAATAAAATAAGGACAGTAATTCGCATTTTTACTGTTTTATTTAGTATCAGAATATTCACTTAGCTTTGACACGACAAATCACATTTGCGTGATAAGAATTGGTGAATTTTCAGTGTCTGTTTATTCTCTAATCTTATTTTAAATATGAATTGACAATTTCAAAAATCCATATATTCACTTCAGGTTTCAACGCCATCTTTTGTGTCGCAGGTGAACGGTCAAGACATGCAGTTACGTCCCGTGCAGTATGTTATGTTAAACCAAGGTAGCAAATTTTTAATTGTGTAGGATTTTGCATCATTTACTTTTTCAAGTTTCAATTTTTGGTTTTTGAATGGTTTTAGCTTTCAGGCGATTAATCGGGAATTTTCGTTATTTTTCCTCTCAGTCTATTTCATCATTTGGTTGCTGTGTAAAAACCCTTCCAATGAAGTCATTAATTAAAATAGAAGTACGGAACGCATCGATAACTAGATATTGAATAAGTTTGGTTTTTCACTACTATTCAGCTGAGTAGTTTTTCAAGGTAACAATGCTCAGACTCAACAAAATCAGATGCGTAATGCTAATGCAGCCGAGCAAGCAAGCATGGTTTCAAAATGTGCTCGGTTCTTCAAAACACTCATACACCTCTCACAGCAACCTGATCAACAGCAAGGACAGCAAACTGCCTTGCGGGTAACTGAACTTGTTAAGGTGAGCTTCACTTTATGTTGAGAAAGTTGTTTACATACTAATTTCATAAATATTTAGGAAAGCGTGGTAAAGGATATAGAAGGAATTTCGTTCAAGAAAAAAAAAACTATTTAGTTTTTTTTTTTAATTTGCAGTGATATGGATGATTTACGATCTCATAAATCAACATTTGTACATATTTTAGTGATAATTCAATATAGTATATGCTTTCCAGCTGGTAATATATGGTTCAATGCCTCCAGAGGTATTTACTAGTCGTCTTCAAGAAGCACTACGCTCTCAAGCACAACCACATCTACTTCCATTTCTTCAGAGGGTATCACTTTTGTGGAGTTTTTTTTGGAATTTTTGCCTTTTTTTAAAATTATTAATTGCAAATAAGCATTTTAGAATACCTTTTAAAAATATCACATGAATATCATCGAAACTGTCTGATCGATCTTCAGTTCAGTTACCATAAAAAAAGTAGTCTATTTCATATATTATTCTCTCACTTAAATATTATTTGACAAAACCTCCTAATTAATATTATTTTATTGAAGACTTTACCAGCGCTAAGGGCAGCATTACAAAAGGGTGAAGTTATTATTGAAGGAATCAGTGCCACTGCTCCGCAACAGCCATCACTTTCTGACATACCTCAGCCTCCCACACAGTGGGATACAAACTCACAGCGGACAAGTAATGAAAATCCTTACTTGTCACAGGTATATTTTGTTGTTTCTTTTCATTTTTCATTTCAATTTTTAATGCGTAAAATGTTTATGTTAAATCCTGTTTTCGAAGTCAAACATACTAAGTTTTTTTCAAAAACGTTTATTTGTTAACGTTGTACAAGATAGATTTATCCTGAATTGTTTACTACGATTTGAACTTGACGAATGATAAGTCTGTTGAA